ACTGAAGAGTGAAAGGGAAACTTGAGCCCAGCCATGGTTTAATAATGAAAGAGAAAATCATAAATGAGTTAAGCTCTCAACAGCAACATTTTAAGAGTGACCTTCGTTGCACTGGTTGAAAAAATACTATCTTAGGAAGGCAGATTGTCATAATGTGTTTTCTATCTTTCGTTTTTCCATTCGCTGAGTGTCATAAAATATACATTTCAAACAACACATCCCACTATTAAGAGAGAGAAAATAACTAATTCATTGATACAATAATTGAACCTTTGAAAACAATATTCGGTTCCAGCCAATTTGGTGGTCAAACATTTTCTCCTGGATTATTTATGATTATGCTCTCTCTCTCTCTCTCTCTCTCTCTCTCTCTCTCTCTCTCTCCCCCTCTCCCTCATGTTTATGCATACAAGAGGGAGGTAGAGAGGGGCAGAGAAAATGTATACAGTACATGTTGCCTCCAAGAGGTCAATGAACCCTACAATTGAAATAGAAGTCGATAACCATTTCCACGTTCATCTTCTCCATTCTTTAAACATGTGCCTGTGACAATTTTTTTTTAAAAGTCGATTGACAAAAAAAAAAAAAATGTAGCAGTACAATGCGCCTAAGATTGAGTAGATAGGCTTGTGAAAGCATAACTTTATAAAAACGCATTTTCAAGTAATATTAGGATGAAGAAAGATGAACAGCATTGTGATGTTAATCAGGAGTTTGGATCATTGCTTGTATTTTCTATGTTTATAAAATATTTGTCAGCCTTCACTGCATCAGAGAGCTATGTTACAGTCATTCCAATTAATGATTCCTCCCCCTTGGACAGGCATGCGAGACTGAAGAGTGAAAGGGAAACTTGAGCCCAGCCATGGTTTAATAATGAAAGAGAAAATCATAAATGAGTTAAGCTCTCAACAGCAACATTTTAAGAGTGACCTTCGTTGCACTGGTTGAAAAAATACTATCTTAGGAAGGCAGATTGTCATAATGTGTTTTCTATCTTTCGTTTTTCCATTCGCTGAGTGTCATAAAATATACATTTCAAACAACACATCCCACTATTAAGAGAGAGAAAATAACTAATTCATTGATACAATAATTGAACCTTTGAAAACAATATTCGGTTCCAGCCAATTTGGTGGTCAAACATTTTCTCCTGGATTATTTATGATTATGCACTCACAATAATAAATGCATCAGTCTGAACGGCGTACCACGATACCACAATGGTAAATGCCAGCAGAAATACTGTATCTTTGCTTACAGCACCTCCCCCAGGTCAGTTATGTACAAGACTGCAGTGGTCAAATGCAGTACTTATTAATCTTGGAACTAATTATTGAGAGAGGTAACGTCATTTGAGCGTTTCTAGTTGAGGCAGATAAACTGAAATCACATTTTAAAATCAAAAGAAATGTGAGTTTGCTCAAAATGTAGGCGAAGTGACAAGGGAGAGATGAGAAATCTCCGTCATCATTATTGCTAAATTGGTTTATATCGTGTAGAGATTTTCTAGCAATGCAATGATAGAAATAAACTATGACTACAATCATGATAATAATAATAATAACCATAATAATATTATCATCATAATAATAATGTGGTGAATACAGATAATGTAATTTTATAAGCAACAATTCATTCCACTTTCTGATGTCTGTCCAGATCTGATTGATGAACATTATTGATCCTCATGTAACTGTTTTGAAAATGGCCATCTTACGAGTTTCCTCTTGTTTTGGCCCTGAATGTGGAGATAGGATTTGATCTCTGTTGAGTGCAGGGGTGGATCTGGTCTAGTGGGATACAGGGCCGAGGCCACAGCAAAATGTAGAGAATCCTAAACCATTTTAACAGAAAGCTGTTGAGTAGCAGTTTTTTCCCCAAATATTACTACAAATAATAAACAATATACAATTTGCTGGGCGGCCCAGTGATCCAGTGGTTAGCACATCAACCTCACAGTGCAGAGGTGCAGGGTTCAATTCCAGCTCCGGCCTTCCTGTGTGGAGTTTGCATGTTCTCCCCGTGCCTGCGTGGGGTTTCTCCGGGTACTCCGGTTTCCTCCCACATTCCAAAAACATGCATGATAGGCTGACTGAACACTCTAAATTGTCCCTAGGTGTAAGTGTGAACATGGACGTTTGTTCGTCTCTGTGTACCCTGCTATTGGCCCGGCAACCGGTTCAGGGTGTCCCCCGCCTACTGCCCGAAGACGGCTGGCATAGGCTCCAGCACCCCCCCGCGACCCTTGTGAGGATAAAGCGGTTCAGAAAATGTATGGATATAATTGCTTGCTTTATTAATTTCGGTGTAGGCTATTTAAAAAAGTCAAAGGATTTCAAAATCCTTTTCTCCTTTGAATTTATAATACAATAGAATCACCTGGATTTGGACACGTTTTTTTAAAGTAGATATATAGTTTACTTTTAAAAAAGTGTATCTGGGTCCAGATGATTTTATTTCATACAACCACTTGATACAATAAAATTGAGCAAATTCAACACATTTTTTTTCAGCATATGCAGCCAACTCATCTTGCGCACGCCTTCATGATGGAACAGAAAATTCCATGCCCCAAAACTGTTCCCACAAAATGGAACTGAAGTACAGTATATAATTACCCAAAATAGCTCAATATGATTAAAAAAAAATCTGATAATTAAAGGACCTTGTTTGAGTAGCTAATTTATGAATATGAGTGGGATTGATGAGAAGGGTGTGCAATGTATTTTGTTGCAGTGTGGCATAAGAAAAAGGACAAGACGCTCTGTTTTCAAGGTCACAATGCCAGACAACAAGGAATATTTTACATGGTAGCATGTAATTTTATGAAATGCAAAGCAACAGGTCTAAAACCCCCTTTCTGAATCATCCTGTAAAATCTTGGCAGCTATCCTTGTACTCCCACTCTAAAGGCTATCTGCCGGATTGTTGCTGCTATGGCAACAGACCCTCAACTCTTTGTAGAAATCTGTGCCATTAGAATCTTGATTAATATTACATAAATGTTAAAGAATGTCAGGCTCTGGGCTAATGATCCTTGCAGTGAGTCGAATGCTTGAACAGGTTATGAAAATATTATGGTAATGATTGTAGGATGAAGGTCTACACTTATGTTGACAGCTCTTCTTTCATTCTAGGACTATGGCTCTGAAATATAGCTTCACTTTTTGTGAAATAAAACCCTTCCTGGAAGCGAAAATGGGTGCCAAGTTAATTTTATTTGCGATGAAAAAGGATTTATCAACCTTTCGACCAGCTGATAAGGTTTGTGGGGGCACGCCCTTGACATTTTCATTTTGCAAAATGTAGGCTATCCATTTGGCACTAACGAGTAGCCTTGTTTTTTTTTCTCATTATTATACAGTACTTTCATCCATAAACAAACAAGCACATGGAGGACAGGGAAAGGAGCAATGGCGCCGAGAGTCGAACACAGAACCTCTCAAAAAAATTTTTTTTTGTCTACCTGACATTGTACAAATAACATATTGTAGAGGTTTGAGTGTTTATTTGTCTGGTGCCTCAAGTACATAGTCAGGCAAAATGATCTGACACATTTGTAGGTTGAATAAAATGCAAATAAAATAAAGAAACAAAAATGTGTTTTTATTTTCGGAAAATACATAAAATGCCTTTTTTTTTTTGTATATGGGGTGCGTACTTCTTCGAAGCATATAACGTTACAGTGACTGAACTCTGATCGATATTGTGAGATGCTCGAGACTTCTCTCAGACCAAAAATGAATATGTTATAGACAACTTTCGTGAATGCCTTCAACAGTGTGTGGACAATAATGGATCCCATTTGACTGATTTAATTTCAAAAACAATGAAACAGAATGGCAGTATATGTAGTTTTCGAAAATAAAATAACTTTTTTGTTTCTTTACTTTATTTGCCTTTAATTTAACCTATAAATGTGTCAGATCATTTTGCCTGACCCTGTATGTAGTATGATATAGTTACTTCAGGAGTAAATTCACTGGTGTAAATTAACCTAAATTCACTGTTTTCACACTTGACAGTTTTTGGGTGAAATTTCACGCTGAACCTAAATGCACTGCAGTTTAACCTTTATAGGTGAGCATTAATTTGACCTTTGGCAAATATTGAATTCACATGGTCGACTGTTCACTTTTTCACACAGTTCTTTTTGCACAATTTACTGTTCTTTCACAAGGAACTCCACATTCGCAACAGGTGTTTGATCGAAGAATAGACCAAATATATTGTCAAGTACGTCAACTTCTATGCCATTCTGTGGCGTTTACAATCTCTTGTGTCTGCTGCAACTTGCTGATAGTGATTACACTGACTTGGAAGCTCAGTGGCTAAGATTTTGAAATATTGGTGCACAAACAAGACTAACGTGCAGGATTACTACTAATCCACAAGGTGATGCTAAGTCTCTGTTATAGAAATGCTGTAGACTTGGCCAGGAGTACTGTTGGGGCGTCTCCAGCTATTTTTAACGCAAAAAATAAGACAGTGGAGGCACCGTGACTCATGTAGTTTAGCGTGTCTACCTCACACTTGAGGAGTTCTAGGTTTAAATCTCAACTCAGGCCTTCATCCGTGTAGTCTCAATCTAAAATCAGCATATTTTAATGCTACGTTTTGTTTCCTGCATGTAGTGACACTTAGGAGATAGAGACCAAGTAGTAAGTGTCCCTTTAAGTCACTGGTATGTACGTCTGTTGTTTGGTTGTTCTGTTTGAAGTTTTGTAGTAGTGTTTGCGTCTTTTTTTCATCTTATATGATTCTGAATTATGTAAGAATCTAATTTTTTTTTTCAAGTCAATGATCAGAAATAGTTCATAATTAAGTTGAGCTGATACATTAATCTATTGTAGTATTTTTGTATCTGTTGTTTTGAAGGGAGTTGTTTGAAATTATTATTTTTCTTTTTCTTTTTCTTCTTCATCATCATCATCGTTTTTGCCTTTTATTTTGAAAGAGACACCCTCATACCTTAATTTGGAAGTTCCGGTCAGAAAAGATCTGCACAAATAAATTGAAGTTCGAACGCACCTGTGTGGTGTATTTTTCCTAAACCGAATTGTTAACATTACACCGCAAATATGTCCGAAAAGGGGGAAGTTAATCTCACTGGAGCTAAACAAAGTAAAGGCGTGTGGCTTGTCAAGGTTTGTTCACCTGCAAGTTATCAAAATAGCAAAAAGTTCTCTACTTCAGATACGCAACTTTCATTAGAATGCAATTAGCAAATTGCCTACACCTCATATTTATATAAGATAAAAGTAGCTGCACAATTAATGTATTGGTAGGCATCTTTTCGAATGATAAAAACGGACTTTTTTTTTTGTTTTTGGGGTGGGGGTCGTCTGTCTTTCTCCTAGGTTCCAAAGTATTTAGCGCAACAGTGGGACAAAGCAACAGAGAAGGGAGAGGTGGGGAAGCTTACTATTGGAAAGTATGTATGGTTTAGTCGAGTCATTTCATTTGTTTTGATTATTATCGCATTCCATTAACTGTTGTTTGTTATTCCTTGTCGCCCTTCTAGAAAGCAAGGCAAAACTCAGGTGAGGCATATCCAATGAAAGCACTGGGCTCAAGTTCATTTTTTCAATTTTCACACATTATTAAAACAAAATAAAACTTTATTGTCATTATCATGAACATGATTATTTATTTATTTATTTTTTGATATACCGTAGTACCAATTTGAGTGGGTTTAGGCCAAGCCCTTGGCACAAAAAGTAGACCTGCAAGTACCTGACCGCAAAGACAAGGAGGTGCTTTTGGAAATTTAACTCATTCAATGGCAGCCATTTTCCTCAAATTGGGAGAATGCTAGCCAATTTTGAACGTTTTGACTAATTTTTGAAGTCCTACACAAAATTGAGTTCTCCAACGATAAACACATTGGAACCTACCAAAACAAAGCTTGAACACTCTTCTTTCACCAGGACAAAAAGTACATTGACACAGTTTACCATTCTTGAGAAAACAATGTTTGAACATTGGTAAGTTTCTTGAAAACAATTGTTTCCACGAAAAATTCTGAGAAAAAAGATTCTTTTGTGTCAAGCAGAATTTTCACTTAGATGTTTTTTTTTTTTTTTGCATTTGTGATACCTCACATATCTAAACAATACTTTCCTACTACGTATTTACACGTTTTGGCACTAAATGATTGGGTTTCTACAAACGTATTTTTACGTTTTGGCATTGACTTAGTTAATTTGCTGAACTAACCTCCCTGAGAGTACAGTATGTCTTTTTAAGAGAGAGTCTGCTTCTTTGGATTTACGACTAACAGCTTTGAATGTTGTCCTGCCTGACACTCTGTCTCCCTGGTCATTGTTGCACTCTGAATATGTGAACAGCACGTTCCAACAACGCTCTCATTTTCCGATGGTCCATAATGTAACACAAGGTGCTCGAAGTATATTTCTTATGTGGCACCTCAGCACAAATGTTTTCCCACCATTGCCTGATTCTGTATTTGAATCCCCCCCCACCCCTGCCCCAAATGCTTTCTAATGAACTGTAATGTATGTGTTGTAGCTGCATTTTGTTCATGCCTGATAATTTGATATTCTCCTATTTTGGTCAGGTTTCTTTCAGTCTGAATGAAGAGCTGACAACTATCGGTGCTGTTGGGGAGAGTGAGTCTCCTCTGCAGGTCCCCAGAGAGCATCCCTTCACCATGAACTCACTGGGTGGACAGACCATGGCTGTCTTCAGCCAGGGTGATAAAGGTCAGATTTGATTTTGTAAGCAGACATTACTTAAATGTTGCATGAAGACTTAAAAAAATATTTTTACACCCTTTAAGAAAGGGGTGCAAATTATAGGGAAATGTGTATTTTGACCATTGTGATTATCTTTATTGAATTAGTTGTTTTTCTCTTATACATAGGCGATATAAAGTATACACAATCTCAAATCTTCTTAATTTACAAAAAATGTTGATTGTAGTTAGCTAGCTCAGACAGCTAATATATTCAGCTGATATTTCACTGTAAAAATCCCTGATAAAACTGTGGGGGTATTGCGATTTACATTTGTAGGCTGTTTGTTGGCCGACTTACCGTGCCATAGAGCTGAGAGATTTGCAGGAATTTGCATCAGATCGTAAAAGTAACTGCGACTCAAAATACAGTTTTAAAACCACCATAATCTGGAAATTTGCACTGTTATGAGCCTATGTTGTTGCCAATTTACCAACTAACACTTAACGCGCATTTTATTCGGGTTACTTTACAAATCAATGTCTCCCAATAATGTTTTTACAGATTGCATAAAACAACGCACATAACTTAAACCACTGACTGACATCATCGAAAAAATATGTCAAAATAATTTCAAAATCCTGGAATTTGTAGCTGACTCATAAATTTGGGGTGGCAATGACAAAAATAAAGCTATATTGTATTGATTTATTTTTTGAAACTTATAAGGAGCATTGTTGAACGCTGATGAAAATATTTTACACTGAATTATGAAGAACACATCGCAACCAGGCAAGCATGAAGCTACCCATTTCATTAGGTTTCATATAGTAATTAAATTATCGGTGGGCCACACTACCAGGTCAAAAAATAGAACTGAATCCTTGCTTGTAAAGGTTTTCCTCTGCTGGAGCGGGGTTGTGGATTCATGACCTTGTAAACATCCAAGCAGATTCCATTTATTTAAACTGAGTGAAAATGGAACACATTTCTATAATTTCCTCATTTAGCAGCAGAACAGATGGGGGGAGGGGGAGAGTTACAGACTAACACAGGCGCTTATAAATTCAATTATGTTCTGTCCTCTGCTAGAGGACACAGCAAGAAGTACACTAACACAGGCGTTAAAAGCAGCGTAAGACTTGTTTTGCTCAAGAATGAGGTTCTCTTCCATTAAACTGCCACCAAAAGTTGAAGCACTGAATATTCCACCCATCCATCATGTTCAAGTTCAAGTCAACTTTATTGTCAAATGTGCTCTATGTGCAACATACAGCACAGATGAAATTTCTTTCCTCTCAACCACAGTGCAAACAAACACAGGAGAGAGAGAGGAGCCACTGCGGGTGCCCGCGCCACCATCAACAGAACATAAACGACAAAATAATACAACACAAACACATAAGACGTGATCCGCTTATCCTCATGACGGTCACGGGGTGTGCTGGAGCCTATCCCAGCTGTCTTCAGGCAGTAGGCAGGGTACAACCTGAACTGGTTGCCAGCCAATCGCAGGGCTCACACAGACAAACAACATATTGTGCTCACAAAAGTAAAAAAGTAATGCCTTTCGTTGAGAAAGCTTGTGTTATAAATAAAGTCAGTGTTGAAAGTAACCTCAAACCGGAACCAGGCACCATCTCGGCCGGTTGGTTTTGACATGGAGGGACAGAGGGGAGATAAAGACAGAAATGGGGTGAGCAGCCAGGGGAGGGACACTAGAACAATGGGCACACCAACAACCATATCAACATTAATCTCCCCCAAATCACACATCATGGCAGCATCAAAGACGATACCGCTTCGCTCCCAACACTCAAGTCCCCTGCCTCACCACCACTGATTATCAGCAGATAAATGTGAAGGCGTACCTCCTGAGTAGCGAGAGAAAAACAAAGCGAAACAGGTTAATAAGGTACTACACGGATGGCGATGAGCTGAGAAGGAGAGGAAAAGAAGCTCAGTACTTCATGGGTCCCACGCTATTAACGTCCAGAAGTAAGTCTTGACGTCCAGATATGAAGTACAAAGCCACCATTTATTAGATTGAATGATCGGAAAGCATGCACTTTAACAATATAATGCGCAAAACAGACAGTGGGGAGCTCATGTGAATTTCTCTATGTGATTGCCTTCATTCCTCTTCAGTCATATTTCTGCCCAACTTGCTGAATGTTCGCTCTAAACTGCTGAAAATTGAATTAAAGCTTTCAGCAGGAAGCACCCTGTGCCAGAAGATTGAGGCTTTCAGCGCCCCCAAGCACTTTAAATGCACCCACATCGTACATTAATACCACCTACATATGATAATGGCTCGCTGTTCCTGTTTTGCAAGTTTTTTTTCAGCACTGACTAATTTCCATGTAGATGTTGATAAACACATTAAAAAACATTGTGCGGTCCATTAAAAAAAAAAACATTGCCTCCTTTGAAACCATTTTTATATAACTGTGACCCTGCATTGTGTCAAAAGCTGTCTTTTGAAGTGGCCACATGATTGTGAAAATACAGTGGGAAATAAATTTGGATTATTTCCTCTGAGATGTAATGTTTTATTTTAGTGTTTTCCTCGCCACTGCTTAGCTTACAACATCACTCGCCCGAAGTAAGTTGCGCAGGATGTCACTGCTCTCCCACTCAACGTTACAAGTCTCTCTTGATCACTTTCACACACACCTGCTGCACCATGCACCTTACTCATGTGTATCTTTGTGGACGCATGGAACATTTTGTTTCAAGTCTGTTAATACCCAAATACCCATGCTGTACTGTTATCTTAAGAACCTGGCTCGCTTCATGTGAATGTTGTTGTTTTTTCATTGTCTACCTCTAACAGTACTTGATGATTTTCGTTTTGCTGTTGAGACACAAAATTTGCTCTCTTATCATTCGTCATTTCGATTTTGCTCATGAGATCAGTCTGTTATTGTAATACAGTGAACCCTCGCTATTTCGCGGTTCGTTTATCGCGGCTTCAGTGCATCGTGGATTTTTTCAAACATATTCATAAAAAAAAAAAAAAAAAATTCCATATACAAGGAGTACAGTACTGTATATGTTGCTCTATGTGACTTGCTGTTGTTTTGCAGCTTCTTGCGGACCGTTTGCGGACTTAAAAAAAAAAAAAAGATTTTTAATTTATTTTTACCTGTATATGTTAATTGGTCGCTACTTCGCGGATTTTTGTTTATCGCGGGTGGTTTTGGTCCCTATTAACCGCGATAAATGAGGGATTACTGGATATACAGACTGCTCTGCCTTTTTTGGTCATTGTTTTCTGGTTTTACACATTTATGATCACGGAATGGGGATTTCGGTTTTCAGTCCGAGCTCAAATTTAAATACACAAGTTGTACTCGAGTATTGAAGTTGCACAATCGTATATATTTCTGGAATGGATAACGAATCAAATGCCGCTGTGTGGCATGACGTGAATCCCCTCCAACTCCGTTTGCAACAGTAGCATCTCCCCCCCCCCCCCCCCCACCACACACACCCCCCCCCCCCATGCACATAAACACCAATCCGGCAAGTGTAATATTTTAGCTCTGTCGCCATGACAACAACCTGAGGTGGACGCACACTTATTTAAAGGCAGTAATTGGCTTGGTCATTCAATGCATGTTTTATCACACTGTGTGTGTGTGTGTGTGTGTGTGTGTGTGTGTGTGTGTGTGTGTGTGTGTGTGTGTATCCATCAAACTTATGACATCATTTAGTTTCCATTCATCAAAGCTTCCAGGAAATGTTTCAATGTAATACAGTACTGTACTGACATTTTAAAGCAGTCCCGCAAGAGTTCATGGTTTGACGGGAAGGCCTATTTTCCCTGAAAATTTTGTTCAAATGCCAAATTGTCCGACCATTTGGTTTGTCGGTGGTTTTGAAGCACCGGTGTGTTGCAATATTTGCCGGCTAAAATAGTGACTCATTACCTACGTCTTACCTGCTGCTTTGAAGGCTTTCATATTGAAACCGGACAAATGGTAGTTTTATTTCCTTATTCCCAGCTTGAACGCAATTCCCCAAGGCTATAAGATTCAGTCGACCTCATGTGTTTCCGTGATAATCCCCACATTTCACACCACATGCCGCCGCCTTTGTAATGCAAGTGTTCAGTCAGGCAACAATGGTGAGAGTTCGCTCATGACAACCATCAGTGACAGACAAACACATGAATCTGACTTGGCTTTTGTACTTTTTGTACCAAAATGAACTTCATTATTTCCCTTTCTCCCTCATGTTTTGTTCTGGCAAGACGCAGGTATTGATCAAGAAGTTGCTAAGCAACAGGCTCAGCTGCCACAGAAGTATGCAGAGACCAGAAAGCCAGCTGTAAAGCGATGCTGTGACTTAAGGCTACGACTAACCTGTTATAAGAGGGCAGAATGTTGAAGCCTTTGGAAGCTCCCAGCTCATTGTCCTATTGTTCTTACAGGCTATTTAGATATTGAGGTGTATTTCACATTTTGGGAGATTTTGTTATGCTCCAGTGAAACCAAAGTTGAACATGTTTGGCCATAATTCCAAAGGGTATGATTGGCGAAAGCACAACACTTCTCATCAACAAAAGAAAAACACACAATTGGTACCGTGATGCTTTTGGACAATTTGGGTGCCACTCCGTGTTTCATGACAGTCCTACACCCCCAATGACTGCCATGAAATGGTTACTATTGTCTGTTACTTTGCATGACGTTGACTTTTGCAAGACTTCAAATGTGGAGTTCTGAAATGTATGTCATATTTTACTCTTTTGGTTACCACAGCAAGGACTGAAGCAGTCTTTTGAAGCTTATTATTCCCATTTTGCCAAGCATACTGCATAGAGGAGCAAAAACACCACTTATGACAAAAGCGCTCTTGCACTTTAGAATTACGTACATTAAAGATTGTAGCTGGTGTCCAATGTCATTAAAATATGAATCTCTTTTTATAATTTGCGTCCTTGGATATATTGCAGTCTTATCTTTGGATTTCCTCGCAAAGTGTGGCTAATAAATTACTGTTCAGTCGGCGCTGTCAGA